TTCCTCTACCTGATGTATTCATGGGAGGACTACCCGTACTCAAGCCTCAATAGATCTTAGCTTCCAAACTTACTGAGGATGGCGTTACAGAGATTCAAGTACTATGTGATGGGTTATTACCAGAAAATACAACTTGGGAAAGATTGGAGGAATTTCGATCCCAATTTCCTCATTTTAACCTTGAGGACAAGGTTGTTTTCTATGGAGGACGTGTTGATACAATACAAGATCAAGAAGAGCATCCACAAGTCATAAGAGAAGATATGGTCACTAACACGTGTCCACAACGTGAAGAAGAACCGAATATGGCTATTAACAGAACGCCACGCAATAGAAGAAGACCTATTAGATATAGAGACTCAATGTAATAAACTTACATGTGGGTATCACGTGTCTGGTAGTTATTGTAGTTGAACAAAAGAGAGGGAAATGTAAAAGTTCATTCATTCTGAATATTGAAATAAAAAGGTCCCATTCTTTCTTCTCATCTTTTCTCTGAAATTCCCCTTTCTTTCTTCCCCTTTTCTGATAATCCCTAGTTCAACCTATCAGATTCGCACACAAATAATGCCAATAACAGATTTTTTTTTTTACATATTAAGTAGCATTGAGACAGGTTGCCTATCAAATAATTTGTTCGTCGCATCCTCGGTAAATTCATATCCCCAGCATATTCTCAGCTATAGGAATCATGATTCTTTGGCGCAAAAAAAAAAAAATTTCTCTAACAAAGGCTCCCTAAATGTAAGAAGTGGTATGAAATCTTATATTGAGTAGACATAGAACTAGTACAGACCAAATAAATGTAATATACCCGTAATCTTAAGATTTTGGGTTTAAAAAATGGATTTTATAAGAGTTATGTTGTAGGAAAAGTGATTGTGTGCGTGCCTTAATTTTTTTTTTGCTTTAAAAAGTGCGGGCCCCACAAAATATTTTGTGTGTAGAAATTTTTTTTGTATCATGTCAAAGGAGAAATTAAAACCCCTTAAAAAAAATATAGTATTAGTTTATTTATTATGATTTATCACTTGACTTAGAAAAATTCTTTCCAAATGACTTTGGGCTCCTCCGTTGTTCTAAGCCTTTAAATTATTTTATTTTTTTTTGGTACATTGTCAGGAGGTATCCCCATTCAACCTTCTCCGGGCACCATGCCCTCGGGGTACGGCCCGTTTGGGCTAGCCCCTCATTGTAACAATGGGTGCACTAAGCTTCGCAACCGGAGAAAGGACGAGACTAATCCCCCAACCGAAGATTTTTGGTTTATCCTCTGGCCCCCAAAGATTTTCCAAGAAACTGCTTGAGGCAAGGTTTGATCCCTGCACTAAGCAATCTCTTGGGAGCTCAGCTGCCAACTGAGCTACCCTTGGGGGTTAAGCCTTTAAATTTTAACATCTCATCTCTGTGTACATAATTTTAATTTGAATAAATTGTTACTTGGTATCAAAGAAAAAAAGTTAGAATCATATACATAGGAAAAATTGTACTGTCCCGTTTGAAACCGGTTAATTAACATTCATATGATAGCAAGTGCAACATGCTCAACTTAATTAATACGGAAGCTAACTAAATAAATTTTCTCTTTTTCCTTATGTATTGCAAACTTTTTCACTTCCATGGCCAAAATAAAACAGACAACAATTCGTCTGTATTTTGGACCACTAGGGATAATTCCCACCATGATAATTTCAACCTGATTGATAATTTAATATAATCCAGACATACTACAACATACATAAAACATATTGCCCATCCATCTATGGCCTAGGTTATCTCATAATCATACTGTCTCAAAATAATGTCCATCATGTTACTTATATAATTACATCAAATAAACAAAAGAGATGCAATTAAATAAATAACATAGACCTGAGCACGCATCACTAACAACATATACAAACCTATGTAGCACTGATACTGACACGTGACACGTGACACGATACGACACTCCAACACGTTAACTACAAAAAATGTTAGATTTCGACACGTTAGGACACGTTTTTATATTGAATAATATTTTTAATTTATGTAGTGTATATTATATTTAATATTCAATAATTTAACAAAAAATGAAACTAAACTTATAATATTCATCAATTTTGCAAAAAAATATAAGATATCCCAAATATTTATATTAAATTTAATAAAATGGTAATCGTAATCCAACGAATCTAATAGCTGAAACTAAAATCTCCATGCAATGCAACCTTTGAACATTTTTTTGAATTTTCATAACGCGTGTTGGAGTGTCGGGGAATGTTGGATTGTCGAAGAGTGTCGGGAAGTGTCGGACACGACACGTCAGAGTTATTGAAGTGTCGGTGCTTCATAGATACAAACTATTGACATGACATAGACACTCCCTATGCTCTCCAAAAGAATAACATGGTATATATATACATATCCAAAATAAAACCATGCCAAATACATATCAGCATAACAAGCTAATCCTGACTATCAGGTCAGGAATATCTCTCGTCTGGCTTCTTGCCACGCAATTCCTCAGCTCCATCAGCTCCTGTACTTGAAATGATAATCTCCATAACGCGAGGTGAGATAATATAATTACCTCAGTAAGTTAGGGACCCTTGGAGGGCTCCTCCACCCCTAAGCTCACTTCTGGTATAATCACACTACATAAAATATTCATGCATGCATCAGAATATGTATGACAATGCAGTGTGCAAATAATAAATCCTACTGGCCATAGAATATAACAAGTATGCATTACGCAAGGAAACACCGTGTTGCAACATACCGTATGAGAAAACATCGTCTCATACTATGCATAAGGAAACACCGTCTTATGCCTCACACAAGGAAACACCGTCTTGTGTGGCACATAAACATACATACATATACATTCAACATATAACAAGTCATATACACATACCATATAAAAGTACCATTTCCTTCGGAGTCTGGTGGAACACATGGGGGATTAACCCCAAGGACCGAAAGCTTACCTATCAAGCACTGTCCTCCAATGCACTCCTTGTATCCAAGGGGTCACAATCACAGTCTCTCACAATATCACAGCATATTCCAAATATGTGAAGACAATCAGTACATATATACTAATCTACCACATTCAATTTTCAAGACTACACATACAAGACACCTACACTTGATTTTGAGTCCAATTTATCAAAGTGTTCTAAACGACGATTTCATAATTTTTCCTTTTACGAGAACCAATCCCAAGCATGTTTAACAAAGGGACTCACCTACAAATCACTCTCCAACTACTTATACCATTTAATTTTTGAAATTGACATGTAGCCAAAAATCATGATTTTCTATAGTGAGCTAAACGTTGATTTCTTTTTTTGTCTTTCACCAAGAAACAATCCTAAGCATATTTAACAAAGGAAGCTATGTCCAAATTACTCTATAACTATCTATACCATGACTTACCTCAATATGAAAAATCCACAAATCTCCAACTCAAGCGAATGTGATTCCAATCCATGGAATTCGCTCAAAACAATGTTGGGATCAACTCTACAACATGAAATAATAACAACCAATCACTAGTAATCTCCTAAAATTCCAATTTTTGGATGGTCACTATTCATCATCACCTAAATCCAAAACTTTCAAGAAAGTGGAGTTTAAGAGTTGGAAACTTACCGTGCAACACCCTAAAACGATGAGAGCAACTCCTTTCAAGCTTCCATGGAGTGGGAACCTCTCAAACAACCTAAACACACAAACCACGAAATCTTTGGATGAAGATATCTCTCTCCACAATAAACCCTAACTGAAAATGAGTTATGGATTAGAAAGAGGAGAAGATTTGAAGCGGTTTTGAATTTGAAACGGATGCATTTTGTTGAAAAATGAGAGAGTTATGGTTTTTGAAAAATCTCAAGATCTTGTGTCATGGAGAAGAGATTCTGTCGACGGGGGAGAAGAAATGAGGGAGAAAGAGAGTGTTATGTTTATTTATGTGAGTTCAAACTAATTTAGTGGGTATAAATTTATCTACCCCGCTCGTTTATCTCTTATTTCAACTTTACACATTAGTCCAGAATATCTTTGTGATAATATTTATAATTTTACTTTCACTTTTTGGGTAATTTTGCCTATCCATAATTTGTCCCTTAATTGTCATTTTAACTTATTTTTCACCAAAGTTGACTTTATTTCTTTTTCTTCTACTTTCCTTATAATTATTCTTCAATATTATGATTAAAATTATTAATTCATAATTAAATTCACAATTACATGTAAGGGTTATTATAAAAATATTATCCTTTTAAAGGACCTTTTATTTTATTTAAAATTATTATTTATTATCTAATATTTAATTTTAAAAAACTTCTCACTTTCTCTTATCCTAATCTTTCTTTCTCTTACTATAAAACTTAGTAATTTTAATTAAAATGATATAATTTTATGTACTTTAAAAAGAATAAACACTAATATATATATATATATATATATATATATATATATATATATGATTCTTTATTTTTTACCTTGTAGAATGATTTTTAATAAGTCAAAATTATCTTTTGTTTGAATGTAATATTTAAAATGTTTTTTAATGTTTACCCAAAAAAAATATTTTTTAAGTAAAAAAATTAGTTTAATGCGAAAATGAAAAAGCACTTTTTATGTGTAAATTGGATTTTGGAGGGATTGTATTAGTTTTTGAGTTTTTTTTTTAAAAAGGCAACATTTCTGTTTTTTTTTTTTTTTTTAACTTTTGTCTTTTTAGAAAGTTATACCCAAATATAAAGATAGAGTGAGAATTAATTTATTTTGAAAAAAAATAACAATTTATTGGAGATAATCCGTCTAAAAACAAAATAAAAATGCTCTAGAGAAAAAGTGCAAGTAATTGTACGTGACTTTCATGCCTGAACAACTAGGACAGTTTCTTGTATAATGTTTTTATCAGATCCAAGTGGAGGCATGAGTAGCATTGAATGCAACTATAATAACAAGTAGCATTTTTTCTCGTATCCAGGTTAGTTTCTTACCAACCCTTATCGTATCTTAACGACAAGTGATTCAAAGCCATCATTATTAGTTCTCGTGTGGTTGGGCTGTTTTCCAAAAACCATTCCTCCATACCCATATTGTTGCACAACTAGCAAGGATGAGCGCGAACCAAAATTGTTTGAGGCCAAAATATCTCCTATAACTCCAAGTTCCAAGCAATCACACCATTCCAATAAATTTGAGAAGACCCGAGAGTTCCTACAATTTCCCTGTCCAACTATGTATAAATCGCAGCCAATTTTTTCTAGCTCATTGAGTACCGCGGGAATATCTTCACCGGTATGGACATCAATCTCTGAGTAGGATATAGAATCATTATTATTCACTGCCATAAGTCTAAATGAATTTATATACTCATCGTCTAATTCTTTCTGCTTCTCACTATCCATTACAGCTGATAATATCCCTTGTGCTTCAGCGTGAATTGAAGTGTCTACGTCTGCCGCTTCATCAAACAAAAGAATCCGAACCACTGATAGCCGGATTCCTGGATGCCCTGCCATTCTCCATGCAACAGCTAAGGCTTCACGATCGTCAGGGCCCCCAACAAAGAGCATAAGAATACGGAAGTTCATTTTGGATAATGATCCAAGATCACGATCAACAAAGATTCCGACAGAACAAGGTGCATCTTGCATTACATTTAGGTTTACATCTTTGTATACAACACTGGTTGTTTCAAGCGCACCTTCTGAACTTAATTGTTTGTGGAATGGAAGAAGAATTAAACTTGTGCGTTTCTCATTAGCTGAGTTGTATATATCCTCATGAATGGTTGCGAAGGCTGACACAACATTTAAGGTCTCAACTCTGACAGCATCATATATCTCTCCAAATGCTTCAAAGACATTGTTGATGCTTTCTAACTCTGCCTGAGATCTTGTGAGATTTTGATCTCCAGGTTGGCTACTAGGCTTCTCCATGTGGGCAGCAACAAGTGCAGCAGCTCGTCCTGTAAGTTCAACAAGGTACAGGGCAAAAACATGTATTGGGGAGAGTCTAGTGGCATTAAAAGATTCAATGATACTGATCATGCCAGTGGCTTGGCGAGTATTGTGGACGCATGCCAGAATTCGGAGCTCAGCATCTACTCTTAGCTTCTGTATAGCCTTTAACTTGTTCTGCTCAAATCTTTTTCTTGGCTTGTAGACGGCATTGATGACGGGAGACGCTACCACAGTCATAAACAGAACAGCAGAGGTAATAACAGCATACGTTTGCTTAGAGAAAATCTGCGATAACACATCACAAGAGCTTTTAATGATTAAAGAATTTTTATCATTAAAAAAAAAAAAAAAAAAAGAATTTGAGTAAATACTACGTTCCAAATAAATCATTACCGATCTATCCCAAGCAATATTTAGCATTATCAGTGCCATAGCGCCCTTGGTATTCAAAAGCAATCCTAGGGCTAAACCATCTCGAGTGCGCATACCAAAAAAGAAAGTGGCAAATAAAGTGCTTAAAATCTTTGGGACACATAACAAGAGTCCAACCAACACTGTCAAGGGCCAATGTGCCTGGTGGAAAATGGAGAGCAACATAAGTCTCATTCCAGTGCCAATAAAGAAGAGCGGTGCCAGAAACCCGCCAATAAAATCATCTGAAATGGACATCACCAAGTCGGCAAATTTCCCATGAGGTAAAATTAATCCGTACACAAAAGCTCCAACAATGCCATGTGTGCCAAGAATATCTGTAACATATGAACAAGCAAAAAGCCCCATCACCACAAAGAGTAATTGGTCATCATCCCACTCATCCTTCTCTGTCTTACTATCAATATACCTTAGAATGATAGGGCGTAACACAAAGATGCAGACAACAATGAATATTATGGTGCTTAGCACTGAGTAAATTGCTCTTTCACCATTAATTGAAAATGGAACCAATAATGTGAAAAGAATCCAACCATAGGTGTCGCTAATCATGGCAGTTGTGAAAGCCGCTTTGCCTAGACCAGTATAAAGGAGCTTGAGCTCAGAAAGGGTGTGAGCTAGGACCGGAAAACCTGTAATAGTGAGAACTAAAGTCCAAATTAAATAAGCATTACTTGTACTTTGTTCAAGGCTTTCAGCTCCACTGTCAAAAAAATTTCGATGTAGAGCATAGAAGACCGGTGCCATAACCAAGGGAAAGATGATTCCGGCAAGGGCGATGCTTGCAGCCTTCTTTTTTACATTTAGAATGGTATTTAAGTTCATCTCCAAACCACTGAGGAATGCATAGAAGATGAGACCAATGTGTGAGAGTACTTCGACATTAAGGACCCCATTTACAGGAAATATGAACTCAAAAACAGATGTGAATCTCCCTATTAATGGTGGAGTCAGCAGCAAACCAACCTTCATCCACAAATTATAAGAATGACAAATAAGAAACTTTTGTAATTATTTATTATAAACAAAAGAACTTATACATTCATATACTTACAAAGATCTGTGAAATAAGACGAGGTTGATGAAGGGGTTTTAAAATAAAGAACAAAACTCGAGACAACAATGCGGTGAAGGCGATTTGAAAGGCGAGAATGGGGAGCTCCGATTTTAGGACGTTATCAGTTTGCCAGATTCGACTAGGATTAAGCACGGATACATTATAACATGCAAAATACCCGGAAGCACTCATAGTTTCCTCCCTCTGATTCAATTTTTACTCTGTAGTCATTTCTCCTGTTAATTAAACCGTTTTCTTTTGTGACTAGCAAGAAAGACATAAGCTTATATGCTGTATTGTTTGCCTGTATGTATGACGACTGAAACAATCCAAATATAGGAGTAAACAACAAGTTCCAACCACATGCATCTATTTGAGGAGGCATTTACCTTATTATTAGTTGTAATTTCCTATTACAGGCTTATGTTACTCCACATCTCCCTATTCTAGGGGAACAATGACAGTTACGAATTACTACAGTATAACTTTTTTTTTTGGTAGATAAAAGTTTTATCTACAGTATAACTTTAGAAAATGAAAAATGGTAGGAGAAATTTTTAAATACTGGAACTCTACCAGGGATTATTATTATTATTATTATTATTAATTACGTAAAAAATCTATAACCCATTTATTTATATATACAAGATAGATATTTAGCGCAATTGACTTGGAATAAGAATAAGAATAATAGAGTAGGAAAACGGGCGCTGCATGAATGAAATGAATCGGGTTCTCCTTGTTCGTCATCCTCTACTTGTGACCCATGACCGAGCGCGCACTCTGATTCCAAAGGTTAGGTTGTTAAATATTTGACATTAAGTGTCATTATCTTATGTCAGTTTAAGTGTCATTATCTTTTTTGTTAAACATTTGACATTAAGCAGTGTTGTGTTTGGTAATTGAGCAAGGCAAATCGGAATTTCAAGACACTTTTAACCACATTCATTAGTTAGGTAAATGTAAATCCAACGATAGTATTTTCGTTTTATGCAACAGCACTAATTAAATAATCACTCACTTTCCTAAACACCAAGGGTGTAATTAATTTTATCTTAATTTCACCGGTCAAAATATCGACAAATATGCCCATTGAAGTGATACACAAGATTTATATGAAAAACCCAATTAGGAAAAACTACGGACAAGATCAAAAATGATTTTCACTAAGTGAAAGAAATTATAACTTCTCTCTATATAAGGAAAGAATAATATCACTTTCTCTTATATTATGAGAATATATCACTTAAAATAACAGTCAGAGACACTTGATGTTTTTTTTTTTTTTTAATTTGGATAATATGAAAACACTCTTCAACTTTTGGGATGGATGAAAACAATTAGCAAACATGCTATTTATAGGCATATGGTGCTCCACCTTGAAGTTCAATTCTCCACAAATTCATAGCACCTTTCCCTAATCTTGTAGTAATACAATGTGAAACATTTTGTAGCTGACATTTCAATAGTAAGCCACTGAAAAAGTGGCTTTACAACTTTTCACTTTCGTACATCTTCCATGTTATTTTTGGTAGTTTCATGTTGTTTATGTTTGTGAAAAACCATAGGATAATCGACACCATATGAACTTGTCAGCATTAATTGGTTTTGTTATGATATCTACTAGATTTTTCTTAGTGTGTATCTTCTGTGTTTTTTCATCCCTAATACATGTTTTTTAATAGTGGATTTAGGGTTTAGGGGTTAGAGTTCAGGGTTAAGGTTCAGGGGTTAGGGGTTTCGGGTTTAAGGGTTAGGGTTTTGGGTTCAGGGTATGGGGTTTAGGGTTCGGGTTTGGGGTTCTGGGTTTAGGGGTTTAGGATTTGGGATTTACGGTTTAGGGGTTAGGGTTCAGGGGTTAGGGTTGAGGGTTTTAGGGTTTGGGGTTTTAGGGTTTAGGTCTCGGGGTTTGGGGTTTAGGTGAAACATAAAATTTATGAGATATAGATTAAAAGAACTTAATCACACAAATGGTTTTTTTCGAGACAATTGTTCTTAAACCATATTACGTTAGCACTTAATACCACCGAAATCTAAAAGGCTCTCCACTCAATAAAAGAAGAAAATTTGCATAATGTCACTAACTAAACAAGACTATAAGGTTTAACACTGCCTTAATTTTAGAAGCGGGTTGCAAAGATGATGTAGATTAATGATTTTCTTCTTCGTCGTCGTCCACTTCAATTGAAGCTTCTTCGTCTTCCTCTTTAGATAAAGCTGCTACTTCTTCTTCTTCTTCATGCAACGAGGCCATGGATGATTCAGTTGAAGGATGTATGATTATGCATGAATGATGCATGATCATTTGTTATCACGCATGATCATGGATCCTTCATGCATATTTAAGATTTAGGGGTTAAGGTTTAGGTGAAGTTTACAAATTGTGAGATATAAATTAAAATAACTTAATCACACAAATAGTTTTTTTTTCAAACAATTGTTCTTAAACCATATACAATCACAGGATTTAAGGGTTATGGGATAAGTGTTAGGGGTTTAGGGTATAGGATTTTAGGGTCTAGGGTCAAGGGTTTAGAGTTCAGGGACATTACGACCTGTAGAATGTCAACTTGGTTGTGGACAATCCACTTAGCAATGGTTACTACTTTTCTCTATAAGATTTAACATCAAGTTAAATCTTACTTCTCTATATGAATTAAAATGAAAATAAATTATTCTTTTGAAAAAAAGATATATAGTGAATACATCTGATGTATAGAATAAACACTCAAGGTGAATGTTAGTATCCTAGAATAATGGAAAATTTAACAGTATAGAACTTGCGAAAATTTGATAAACCTGTTACAATTTCATTCAGAATCAATATTGCCCCCTCCTTACTTACAAAAAAAAAAAAAATCTTGATATTATTCTTTTCCTATGAGATAATTTTATCTCCTACACACATAACAATGTATGGGACCTATGTAAGATCATATGGAGAGAAAAGAAAAGAAAAAATATAAGCCTTATACACTTTTATATATATGTAAAAAATAATTTTATCTCGTGTAACATGATAAACATTAATTCCATTATTCCTTTATAGATTTTTTTTTCTTTCTCCAAATGGTTTTGTCCATTGAAACCCATTCTTAATGCTATTACAAATTTTGATTCATTTGTCCAATTTGCCCTTCTTTAAAAATCAATAAACCATTACCCAGCCAATCTTGAGCGTCACCAAATTGTGAATGGGAGTTTTGTGTCATTTGAGTTTCTTATTCGTCAAAACCAAGCCTGGATCACCGCAATGTTTCGGGAACTGGTGGCCCTGGGAGTGTAACGTGGAGGAAATCCAGCATCCAACTCCACCAAGAACCGCGACAAGAGATTTTTGCGATTAGTGTTTTGATGTTGCCATTGCTAGTCTAATATTTGAATCAGATGCCAACAATTATTGGATCACATTTTTTCAACCAATAACCAACTAGTTCATTGCCTCAATTTAGTGAGTACAATTTGTCCTATTATTCCTGGTCTTATGAGACAAATTACTTGTGTACAACTTAAGTCATTTGGAAGAAAGCAAAAACGAGATTCTGGATATGAGAATGCTTGCACACATTGGTTGGCTTAATACAAAGATCTTCAATGGCCAAGTTTTACTTGGCTATGATCACTATTAAATATGTAAGAAAGCAGTTCAGTGGTTGTAACAAAAAGGTCACGTGGGCTAATAGCAAAGCTGACTGCTAGGGTGCAGGAAAATAAATCTAGGAGGTGCAGTACTATAGTAATGCATCAATTCAACAAACATCTTATATATTACAGCACATTACAGAAAGCTAACACACAGGAGTGTTCACTCTAAGAATGTATGATACATTGATGTGTCATAGTTGACAATGCCAGATACAGTGCAGGCGGCAGACCCAAAAAGCATTATAGTGAAATAGCCAACACACCAAAGATAATGGATACAAGATAAACAATTCATACTACATACATGTAAATACTCAAAAATAAAACATAACCCAAATTAAAGACATACATCATTAATAATCCAAAGTCATAGTCTGGATACACATCACCATCAATCTAAAGAATAATTAAAAAGTCAATAACAAAAGTCAAGAGGCATAATGAGGAAAAAAAGACATTGCACGTTATCACTTATTCAAAAAAAAAAAGGCAGAGCTATGCAAAAGAGGAAGAAGCTGGGAATGGATAAGCTGAGCAAAACAGAGGGACAGAGCAAAGACCTGAGAAGAGAGGCCGAGGCTGCCAAAAATCGGACAGATTTGACCGAAAAATGCTTGGCTGCTGGGTGGTAGTCGGAATACGAACACCTGAGGTACAGAGGGTGGGGCTGCTGGGTTTTTTTATGTATAAAAGAATTCTAACCCGAAAATCCTTTTGATCCAAAAAAGGGGTGTAAATTAAAATCACAAAAATCTCCCTAAACAAATGAGTGGGTAATAGAAAAAGAATGGACAAAACAGGTATTTCATTCTTATTCAGAATTGAGGTTGACTGGCTGTTATAGAACTTAAAGAGGCCAGAGGCCGCTCTGCCCTGCATATCTGCTGTAGCAGCTTGATTTACTGCTATTAACTACTCTGTCACGCTTCACAGAGACTACAATCATAAATTCACCAAATGAATGTTTTTCTGAAGCACAGCGCAGTTCTATTTCCCCGTGATATCATCAGAGCGATGTTGATCAGTATTATATGTGCATGAAGGTTGGCCATGCAGCCTTAAATGCAGATATGTAATACTCACTTTAATCTTTCCATCTTGTGACCCAGATGCAAGCATCTCCGAATCCCTGCTAAAGTCTACACAAAGCACAGCATCGAATACTTCCTGCAAGTTAATAAAATCAGAAAATGTCAAAGGCAAAAATGACTATACTTATGGTACACTAAGAAATTTTCTTTCATAAAGAACAAAGATAACTAATGTCACAGCAAAAGATTACATTTTGAGGTGAAAGTTGAAATGGATCCAAAATTGGCAGCAGTGATCTGAGAGTATGTAGTATCTTTTCCACAGCACTAAATGCATCTATAAATGTAAAAGTGCCTGGTTATAGAGACATGGAGACTAACAAAATCTTACCTCGGAATGATATCATATCAGTCAAATAGCTACTTCCAAATTCATTCACCATCACATACAAGACATTTATTCTACGCAGGTAAAACAGTTCATATAAAAACTAACTCACATCTGTCTGGTACTGGAGATCTTTTTTTAGTTTTAATTGAAAGAAATATTTTTATATAATTGAACTGTGTAATATCTGTACAAGAGTTCTCTATTTAAAAAGACTAAAAGACCTAATGGGCTAAGCCCAAATACACTTCTAGAGTATTCTAACTATTACAAAATAATAATCAAATAATTCTAATATTTACAATACTTCTCCTTAAGCTGAAGAATAGATATTTATCATTCCTACCTTAGTAATAAGTTCTTGAAATCTATCATTAGGGAGACCCTTAGTTAAGACATCAGCCAATTAACGACAAGAAGGAATATATGTAGTGATTAGTAAACTGTCTAATTTCTCTTTAATGAAAAGTGGAAATCAATCTCAATATGTTTGGTTCGATCGTGTTGAACTGGATTGTGAGCTATACAGATAGTTGTTATCACAAAATAATTTCATAGATCCTTCATATCACACCTTGAGATAATCAAGAATGATTTTCAGCCTAATAACTCATAGATACCTTGAGCCATAGTTCGAAATTCTGCTTCTGCATTTGACCTAGCAACCACATTTTGCTTTTTACTTCTCCATGTTATAAGATTTCCACAGAGAAACATACAATAGCCCGAAGTAGACCGTCGGTCGGTCATGGATCCAGCGTAATCGGCGTCTATATAAACTTCTAAGGATAGGTTTCCTCCTCTCTGGAACAATATTTTTCTACCTGATGTGCCTTTCAGATATTGGAGAATTTTGTCCACAGCTCGAAGTGTTCCTCCCTCAGATCATGCATAAATTGACTAACAACACTAACTGCATAAGCTAGATCAGGTCTAATATGAGCTAGATATATCAATATATCAATCTTTCAACTATTCGTTGATATTGTCTTTTATCAACTGGAGAGCTCTCATTTTCACTTTCTAGTCTGTGATTCGGCTCAATCGGAGTACTGGAAGGTTTACACCCCTGCTTCTTTAAGGAGGTCAAGAACATATTTCCTTTGACAAATAAATATCCCTTGCTTTGAATGAGCAACTTCTATCCCAAGAAAATATCTCAGTTTTCCAAGATCTTTAACTTCAAATTTAGCCGTCAATTTTTTTTTCAGAGCACATTTCTCGCCTATATCATCCCCTGTTATAATAATGTCATCAACATAAACTAGAAGGATAATGGTCTTACACTGAGAATGTTTAAAGAAAAGTGTATGATCCCTTTAACTTTGCTTGTATCCCAATGAAAGCATAATTTTGGTAAATCTTCCAAACCAAGCACGCGGGGATTGCTTCAAGCCATACAACGCCTTCTTTAACATGCAAACTTTATTATCTCCATTTGTAGAGTTAAATCTTGGTGGAATCTCCGTGTAAATCTTCTCTTCTAATTCACCATTGAGGAAAGCATTTTTCACATCAAATTGATTCAAATCCCAGCTAAAATGAGCAGCAAAGGACAATAGAACTCTTACAGTGTTCATTTTGGCCATTGGAGCAAGTGTTTCTTCGTAATCAATGCCATAGGTCTATGTGTATCTCTTGGCTACCAATCGAGCTTTATACCTCTCAATAGTCCAATCAGAATTATACTTCAGAGTATACACCCATCTGCACCCTACCGTCCTTTTTCCATTTGGCCTGCCAACAACTTCCCATGTATTATTCTTCTACAATGCATTCATCTCCTCACGCATGGCTAGAACCCAATTATCATTCTTTAATGTTTCATGTACTGATTTCGGGATTGAAATGGAGTCTAGTGCTGTAATAAAGCTTCTATGTTGCTTAGAGAGATTCTTAGAGAAGACAAAATGAGAAATAAGGTATTGGGTACAAAACCTTTTCCCTTTCCTTACAGCAATGGGTAAGTCATCAGAATTAATATCAGGCTCAGGAATAAAAGAAGTAGTGTGTTCAGTACTTACCAGCGGTTTAGGCGATTGCAGTTGCTGGTGGAGCAGTGTGGGTTGTTTCTTCCTTTGGTACAACAGTTCTGGTGTCCCAATTTTGCGTACTTTCTATCTATCAATAAGAGGCATGTCACATGAAGAATCAGATGAATTTTCAGCCTCAGCAATCAAGTCTTCCTTCTCATTGTCATGTAAGGTAACTCCTAAAGTAGAAGATGTAGGTGACAGAAAGCGAGACTTAGACTCGGAGAAAATGGATGAAGCTTCTATATTGTTCTCCCCCTGAAGCTGAAGGTGTAGACTAGAAAAGAAGATTTTGTATATGATTGAATTGTATCATATTTGTACAAGAGTTCTCTATTTAAAGAGACTAAAAAACCTAATGGGCTAAGCCCAAATACAATGATAGAGTATTCTATTACAAAATAATAATAAAATAATTCTATTATTTACAATACTCCCCCTCAAGCTGAGGAATGGATATTTATCACTCACAGCTTGGTAGTAAGTTCCTGAAATCTATCATTAGGAAGACCCTTGGTTAAGAAATCAACCAATTGACGACCAGAAGGAATATATGGAGTAGTGATCAGTCCACTGTCTAATTTCTCTTTAATGAAGTGGCGATCAATCTCAGTATGTTTGGTTTGATCGTGTTGAACTGGATTGTGGGCTATACAAATAGCTGACTTGTTATCACAAAGTAACTTCATAGATCCTTCATATCTCACCTTCAGATCATCAGCCATAACAACTCACAAATACCTTGAGCCATAGCTCGAAATTCTGCTTCTACACTTGATCTAGCAAAGAAACATAAAATAGCCCGAAGTAGACCGTCGGTCAGTCACAGATCCAGCATAATCCGCGTCTGTATAAACTTCTAAGGATAAGTTTCCTCCTCTCTGGAACAATAGTCCTCTACCTGGTGTGCCTTTCAAATATTGGAGAATCCTGTCCACAACTTGCAAGTGTTTCTCCCTTGGATCATGCATAAATTGACTAACAACACTAACTGCATAAGCTAGATCAGGTCTAGTATGAGCTAGATATATCAATCTGCCCACTATTCGTTGATATTGTCCTTTGTCAACTGGAGAGCTCTCATTTTCACTTCCTAGTCTGTGATTCTGCTTAATCGGAGTACTGGAAGGTTTACACCCAAGTTTTCCTGCTTCTTTAAGGAGGTCAAGAACATACTTCCTTTGACAAATGAATATCCCTTACTTCGAATGAGCAACTTCTATCCCAAGAAAATATCTTTGTTTTCCAAGATCTTTAACTTCAAATTCAGCAGTCAGTCTTTTTTTCAGAGCACATTTCTCACCTATATCATCCCTTGTTATAATAATGTCATCAACATAAACTAGAAGGATAGTGGTCTTACCTTCTTGAGAATGTTTAAAGAAAAGTGTATGATCCCCTTGGCTTTACTTGTATCCCAATGAAAGCATGACTTTGGTAAATCTTCCAAACCAAGCACGCGGGGATTGCTTCAAACCATACAACGCCTTCTTTAACCTGCAAACTTTATTATCTCCATTTGTAGAGTTAAATCTTGATGGAATCTCCATGTAAACTTACTCTTCTAATTCACCATTGAGAAAGGCATTTTTCACATCAAATTGGTTCAAATCCCAGCTAAAATGAGCAGCGAGGGACAATAGAACTCTTACCGTGTTCATTTTGGCCATTGGAGCAAATGTTTCTTCGTAACCAATGTCATAGGTCTGTGTGTATCCCTTGGCTACCAATCGAGCTTTATACCTCTCAAGAGTCCCATCAGAATTATACTTCGGAGTATACACCCATCTGCACCCTACTGTCTTTTTCTCATTTGGCCTGTCAACAACTTCCCATGTATTATTCTTCTCCAATGCATTCATCTCCTCATGCATGGCTTGAACCCAATTATCACCCTTTAATGCTTCATGTACTGATTTCGGGATTGAAATGGAGTCAAGTGTTGTAATAAAACTTCTATGCTGCATAGAAAGATTCTTAGAGGAGACAAAATGAGAAATAGGGTGTTGGGTACAAGACCTTTTCCCTTTTCTTACAGCAAGCAGTTGATCAAATAGGCTGCAATTAATAAGGCTTCTCCCCAGTAAGAGTTAGGTACAGATGTCTGAAACAATAATGCTCTGGTGACTTCAAGCAAATGTCGATTTTTTCTTTCAGCAACCCCATTCTGTTGAGGGGGGTATCCACGCATATGAGCTCATGAATCATACCCTTTTTCAGCAACCCCATTATGTTGAGGGGGGTATCCACGCATATGAGCTCATGAATCATACCCTTATCTGAAAGGGATTGTCACAGACGCTGGTTGACATACTTCGTACCATTGTCAGATCTTAATCTCTTAATACTTTTACCAAACTGTGTCTCAATCATTTGATAAAATCGAATAAACAATTCTGGTACTTCTGACTTGTCTTTCATCAAGAATATCCATGTCACCCGAGTGCAATTATTAATAAAAGAAACAAACCACCTAGCACGTGAAATATTATGTACTTTAAAAGGGCCCCAAACATCTGAATGGATAAGAGTAAAAGGCTCAATGCTCTTTATTGAACTTGAAGGAAAGAGCACGCGGTGGTGTTTCGCAAGCTCACAAACATCACAATGGAAGGAGTCAATTGCCTGATCCTTAAACAAAGAAGGAAACATTGACTTCAATAAGCCAAATGACGGGTGCCCCAGGCGTTTGTGATGAAGCCAAATCTGTGAGAATGAAGTAGACGGGTAATGACTCATCAATAATTGATTCCTGGTATCCCTTATAGCATGCTCTGGAATGAGATAGTACAACCCGCCTTGCTCCTTAGCAACTCCAACCGTTCTCCCCGTGGCGATATCCTAAATAACACAATGGGTAGGAAAAAAAGTGACAGCACAATTCATGTCAGTTGTAAGCTTATAAGTGGAGATAAG